AAAAATAAAATGAATATAGGATTCTAACTGCTCAACAGTCCTGGGTTGTCGCATTTTTTGTTTCAAGATGTCCCAAATATTTATAATTGGTGAAAGGTCTGGACTGCAGGCAGGCCAGTTCAGCACCAGGGCTCTTCTTCTATGAAGCCACGCTGTTGTCATAGATGCAGTATGCAGCTTAGAAACATCCTGAAGATATATGCAAGGCCTTCCCTGCAAAAGACATTGTTTGGATGAGAGCAAATACTGCTCTAAAACCTGGATATACTGTATCTTTCAGCATCGATGATGTCTTTGCAGAGGTGCAAGCTGACCATTCCGTACACACTAATGCCCCCCCCCCCCCACCAATACCATCAGAGATGCAGGCTTTTACATAGTTAGTCTGGCTGAAAAAAGACAAACGTCCATCCAGTTCAACCATCAAAAAAAAAAAAGTTACAATCCCACAGCTGATCCAGAGGAAGGTAAAAAAAAACCCCCAGCAAACCATGATCCAACCTGCCCCTGCAGAGAGAAAAATAAAAAAAAAAAACTCACTCCCGATCCCCCGAGAGGCAACCGGACACTCCCCAGACCAACCCCACCTATAAATGATAGCATTTAGTTATATTCTGTGTATCTAAGAAACAATCCAGGGCTTTTTTAAAGCAATCCACTGAGCTGGCCACAACCACCTCTTAAAGGGAGTCTATTCCACATTTTCACAGCTCTCACTGTGAAGAAACCTTTCCGGGTTTGGAGACTAAATTTCTTTTCCTCCAGATGTAAAAAGCGCCCCCTTGTCCTCAGAGGGTGAATGACTACACTGAGTTCACTATATGAACCACTGATGTATTTATACATGGAGATCATATCCCCCTTATGTATTATACATGGAGATCATATCCCCCCTTATGTATTATACATGGAGATCATATCCCCCCTTATGTATTATACATGGAGATCATATCCCCCCCTTATGTATTATACATGGAGATCATATCCCCCCTTATGTATTATACATGGAGATCATATCCCCCCCTTATGCATTATACATGGAGATCATATCCCCCTTATGTATTATACATGGAGATCATATCCCCCCTTATGTATAATACATGGAGATCATATCCCCCCTTATGTATTATACATGGAGATCATATCCCCCTTATGTATTATACATGGAGATCATATCCCCCCTTATGTATTATACATGGAGATCATATCCCCCCTTATGCATTATACATGGAGATCATATCCCCCCTTATGTATAATACATGGAGATCATATCCCCCCTTATGTATTATACATGGAGATCATATCCCCCCTTATGTATTATACATTGAGATCATATCCCCCCTTAAGTATTATACATGGAGATCATACCCCCTTATGTATTATACATGGTGATCATATCCCCCCTTATGTATTATACATGGAGATCATATCCCCCCTTATGTATTATACATGGAGATCATATCCCCCCTTAAGTATTATACATGGAGATCATACCCCCCTTATGCATTATACATGGAGATCATATCCCCCCTTATGCATAATACATGGAGATCATATCCCCCTTATGTATTCTACATGGAGATCATATCCCCCCCTTATGTATTATACATGGAGATCATATCCCCCCTTATGTATTATACATGGAGATCATATCCCCCCTTATGTATTATACATGGAGATCATATCCCCCCCTTATGTATTATACATGGAGATCACATCCCCCTTATGTATTATACATGGAGATCATATCCCCCCTTATGTATTATACATGGAGATCATATCCCCCCTTATGTATTATACATGGAGATCATATCCCCCTTATGTATTATACATGGAGATCATATCCCCCCTTATGTATTATACATGGAGATCATATCCCCCCTTATGTATTATACATGGAGATCATATCCCCCCCCCTATGTATTATACATGGTGATCATATCCCCCCCCCCTTATGTATTATACATGGAGATCATATCCCCCCTTATGTATTATACATGGTGATCACATCCCCCCTTATGTATTATACATGGTGATCACATCCCCCCTTATGTATTATACATGGAGATCACATCCCCCCTTATGTATTATACATGGAGATCACATCCCCCCTTATGTATAATACATGGAGATCACATCCCCCCTTATGTATTATACATGGAGATCACATCCACCCTTATGTATTATACATGGTGATCACATCCCCCCTTATGTATTATACATGGAGATCACATCCCCCCTTATGTATTATACATGGAGATCACATCCCCCCTTATGTATTATACATGGAGATCACATCCCCCCTTATGTATTATACATGGAGATCACATCCCCCCCTTATGTATTATACATGGAGATCACATCCCCCCTTATGTATAATACATGGAGATCACATCCCCCCTTATGTATTATACATGGAGATCACATCCCCCCTTATGTATTATACATGGAGATCATATCCCCCCTTATGTATTATACATGGAGATCACATCCACCCTTATGTATTATACATGGAGATCACATCCCCCCCTTATGTATTATACATGGAGATCATATCCCCCCTTATGTATTATACATGGAGATCACATCCCCCCCCCTTATGTATTATACATGGAGATCATATCCCCCCTTATGTATTATACATGGAGATCATATCCCCCCTTATGTATTATACATGGAGATCATATCCCCCCCTTATGTATTATACATGGAGATCATATCCCCCCTTATGTATTATACATAGATCCCCCCCCTTATGTATTATACATGGAGATCATATCCCCCCTTAATCTCCTCTTCTCAAGAGAGAATACATTCAGTTCCTCTAATCTTTCCTCGTAGCTGATCTCCTCCATGCCTCTTATCAGTTTGGTTGCCCTTCTCTGTACTTTCTCCAGTTCCCCAATGTTCTTTTTGTGAATTGGTGCCCAAAACTGAACTGCATATTCCAGATGAGGTCTTACTAATGATTTGTACCGGGGGGGGGGGGGGGGGAGGGATGATATCTCTCTCTCTCTGCAGTCTATACCTTTTAATACTCTTTTGAACCGATAAACTAGAAGGTCCCTTTCCTCTTTAGTGCAGAGGATATGGTGCCAATGGATGCCAAAATGAAGATCAAATATCAATTAGTGTGACCACAGAAGTTTCCCACTTTGCAACAGACCATTTTAAATGAGCTCTGGCCTAGAGACAATGGCGGTTTTTCTGGATCTTGTTCAGATATGGCTTCTTCTTTCCATGATAGAGCTTGACCTTGTATTTTTGGGCGGCAGGGAGAACTGTGTTCACAGACAGTGATTTCTGGAAGCCGTCTGAGCCCATGTGGCGATGTCCATCACAGAATCATGCCCGATTTTAATGCAGGGCCATCTGAGGGCCCAAAGATCACCGTTATCCAATATTGTGTTTCGGCCTTATCCCTTGCACACAGAGATTCCTCCAGATTCCAGAACAGTTTGATGAAATGATGTATTGTAGATGATGATTATATTTAACGTCTTTTCAATTTTGCATTGAGGAACATTTTTTTTTTAAATTGTTCAACAGCTTTTCACAGATTGGTGAACTTCTACCCATCTTTACTTCTGAGACACTGAACTAGAAGGGTACACCTAGATTAGGGTGAAGGTCTGCTTTTAGAATACCTGAATAGGATGTTTTTTTTTTTTGTTTATTTGTTTTTTAAACTAAAACTATAGGATAGTAAATACCATCTAAACACTTTCATCATGTGTATTCTTCTTGAATCTTGGTGTGCTTTGTGTATTTTCAGATTTGTGCAGTACCCTAGTGTAATAGAAACCGCTTACTGCTGCTCTGTCCCCTTGTGCAGGTTGACTGGTCTTGTCTCCGCCCCCTCCTGTAGTGGGTGGAGCCTGCTGGGCCTCTCCCACAACTGCGCTCTCTTAGTAGGCAATGCATATCACAGTGAAATGTTACCACTTCCTTTACAATAGTTAGCTTTGCAAAGGCATGTGGTGAACACAAATATAGATTTATATCCTTTATGGCTATTGAGGAATTTAAAACCCCCAACAGTACAATCAGTCTGTAGATGCTGTAAAGCATGCTTGTTATACTCACTGTGGAACCTAAGGGGTTAATCCTCTGCATTGTGTAAAAAGGCTGTTTGATCCTGTCTTCTCTGATCCTCCCCTTCTTCCAGTGCCCCCTTATCTCCTGATAAGACATTGTGTGGAGACACTGCACATGCTCAGTTTGGTATGTATTGTTAAGAGAGTTGTTTTTCCTTTCTTGGGAGGGTGCATGTGATCAGCACAGGGCCAATCAGCACTGTCCAGAAGACGTCAGGGGTCCTGCATACTCAGAAAAAAACTCCTACAAGCTTTAACCAGTGCTCTGCTGGACCCTGATAGAAGTCACAAGATTGCTATTATACTGCTGATGAGAAAAGGTATTTAGCAGTTTATATTTACTAAAATAATTGCATTTCCATGTTCTGTGTATTGTGGGAGACCGGATATAGTGAATGCAGGGTCCGGGGAGAGCGAATATAGTGAATGCAGGGTCCGGGGAGAGCGGATATAGTGAATGCGGGGTCCGGGGAGAGCGGATATAGGGAATGCGGGGTCCGGGGAGACCAGATATAGTGAATGCGGGGTCCGGGGAGACCAAATATAGTGGATGCGGGGTCCGGGGAGAGCGGATATAGTGGATGCGGGGTCCGGGGAGAGCGGATGTAGTGAATGAGGGGTCCGGGGAGAGCGGATCTAGTGAATGAGGGGTCCGGGGAGAGCGGATCTAGTGAATGAGGGGTCCGGGGAGAGCGGATCTAGTGAATGCGGGGTCCGGGGAGAGCGGATCTAGTGCATGCGGGGTCCGGGGAGAGCGGATCTAGTGCATGCGGGGTCCGGGGAGAGCGGATCTAGTGAATGCGGGGTCCGGGGAGAGCGGATCTAGTGAATGCAGGGGTCCGGGTAGACCAGATAAGTGAATGCAGGGGTCCGGGGGGAGAGTGGATATAGTGAATGCGGGTCCGGGTAGAGAGCGGATATAGTGAATGCGGGTCCGGGGAGAGCGGATATAGTGAATGCGGGGTCCGGGGGAGAGCGGATATAGTGAATGCGGGGTCCGGGGAGAGCGGATATAGTGAATGCAGGGTCCGGGGAGAGCGGATATAGTGAATGCAGGGTCCGGGGAGAGCGGATATAGTGAATGCAGGGTCCGGGGAGAGCGGATATAGTGAATGCAGGGTCCGGGGAGAGCGGATATAGTGAATGCAGGGTCCGGGGAGAGCGGATATAGTGAATGCAGGGTCCGGGGAGAGCGGATATAGTGAATGCAGGGTCCGGGGAGAGCGGATATAGTGAATGCAGGGTCTGGGGAGAGCGATATAGTGAATGCAGGGTCTATTTTCACCTGCTGATTCAGCCAGTAAGTCTGTTGTTTTCCAAAAGAACAAGCTCTCTTCCAGATGTATGTATTACAGAAATGTGACAAACCATTTAACACGGGCAGGGCTGCGTACAGTGATCAACTTTTATATATGCCAAAACTTTATCCCAAAAGGAAATAAAAATAGGTTTGCTGTAACTACTTATAAAAAGTGGTAGCTGGAGTCGGACTAGCAGATTTAGATACACTAAACTAGCCAATCTAACCCCCCCCCCCCCTTCCATAAACACTGACAATACTGCTGTCTAAAGGTGCCTCATGTGTTCCTTCATCCAGAGGTGTGTTACTGGTCAGATCACCTAATGACAATAGAGGGGCTATATAAAAGGATTGCAGCCGCCACATGATTGGTAACCAGGGGCGGACCGACCATTTGGAAACTCGAGCACTGCCCGAGGGCCCGGGGTCAGTAGGGGGCCCCATGAGATGCCCCTGGTACCTTTTTCATAGGCTTTTTTGAGTTTGGGCAAGGACACAGGGGCCCCATGATCCGCTATTGCCCGGGGGCCCCATGAGTTGTCAGTCCACCCCTGTTGGTAAGCTGCAATTTATGACATTTTTGGGTTTAATACCGCTTTAAGGTTACCGATAGGAACGATCGGGGCAATAAAGTGCATTCCCTGTTACAACTAGACCTGTCATATTTCCTTCACATTTCTATGCGCAGAACTAGATTTGTGTTCATGACTTCGAAAAAAAGCAAATCAGCTGCAAAGCAGGGAGGTGGGGAAGGTAAGCCTTCATATTCCAATATACAGAGGGGCCCCTGTCAGGGTTTAATGTGACTTTTTAGCTATGCCTTCGTCATGCCGTAATCTCCATCAGTCTAATCTCCTCGTACCGCCATGGTGTCAGAAGAGTTCAGCATGACACCTTCAACATACATCAATTTAAAATATGTGTTGCTGTAAGAACCAAAAACAGTGTCTACTTCCCCCGCCCGCCTCCTGTGTTTAACCCTTTCTCTGCCAGTGTCGTTTTTACATTTCTTGCACATTTTTTTTTTTTTATTTTTTTTTAAAGCAGAGACCCCAGAGAAGAAAATAGCGTTAGCTCCAATTCTTTAGCCCCAGTTCACATATGTGAGGCGGTGCGCGTTTTGCACGGGCAGGAGAGCCCATTCATTTGAATGGATTTGCGTGCCCCGTGACACGCAGAGAAGTCCCCGCACTTCTTTCGAAAACACAACCTCAGTTTCCAGTACGGCTGCGTTCTACAGTGCGGGCGGCGTGCCATTAGAACGAATGGCACCCACCTGCGGGTCTGAATTTCTCTGTGCGGGTGGTGCGGCTGCACGGATTTTCGTGTGGATCCACAGCTGCACCACCCGCATAGATGTGAACCTAGCCTTATGCCACGCAATTTCAGCACCGCAGCTTATGAAATGCAAAATTTTGCTAAAAATACATTAGTGCACACAAACACATTGGGGCTGATTTACTAAAGGCAAATAGTCTACATGCTGCACGTGCAGTTGCTCTAGAGCTTAGTAAATGAGGTAAAAGGTTCACTTTGCAAAGTATACCCAATCACATGCAAGGAAAAAAAAAAAAAAAAAAAACACAGCATTTTTGCTTGCAGATGATTGGATGATAGAAAATCAGCAGAGCTTCCCTACATTTCAGAGCAGCACAGTGGCTAAATGGTTAGCACTCCCGCCTGGCAGTACTCAGGTCGTTGGTTTGAATCCCAACCACGGCACCACCTGCCTGGAGTTTGCATGTTCTCCCTGTGCCTCCATGGGTTTCCTCCGGGTACTCTGGTTTCTTCCCGCACTCCAAAGACATGCTGGTAGGTTAATTAATTGGCTCCTGTCTTAATTGCCCCTAGTATGGGTATGTATGAATGTGAGTTAGGGACCTTAGATTGTACGCCCCTTGAGGGTTAGGGACTGATGTGAATGTACAATATATATGTAAAGCGCGGAGTAAATTGATGGCACTATATAAGTACCTGAAATAAATAATTCCTCTCAGATCTAGAGCAGCTGCACTTGCAGTGCACAGACTAAACGCCTTTAGTAAATCAACTCCAATATCTTAACCAATTTTTAGAAATATATAAAAGATGAGGTTGCGCCGAGTAAACAGATACCAAACATGTCAAGCCTTAGTCCTCATGCACGCCGGTAGTGTTAGCTGAATAAGTCACATTAAAAACGAAAGATTTTTTCAGCATTTTTGCATTGGCAGTTACCAGTGTTTAAAAAAAGGAAAAAAAAAACACGCTGGTTTGGTTGCCGCGTTTTACCGCGTTTACATCGTTAGAGCGTTCTTACCGCAAAAAAAAAAAAAACTCCTCCAGAATCTCACTAGTCCTGGTTTTTTTTCCAGCCAAAAATCACTGATTCCAGTCTGTGTGTGTTTGGACACAGAGGATAACATGCTGGGGGGTTTACTGACTGTAGAAAAAAAATAAATAAAAGCCAAAAACAGCAGCTGGAAAAATGTCCCGTGTGCATAAGGGCTTAAAATAGTATGTATCCATGAAAGGGCAACAAACTTCAGTGCTCTTTATTTTCCAGAGGTGATCCTATAGCCTCCCTAGCGGTCTGATTATGTCCATATTTCTGTGCTCAAAGCGGTACATTTTTTTTGCATGGAAATATGTTGTTTTTTTTTAATTGTAGGCTGTAATTTTTAGGAATAACTCACTGAAATCTGTCCGAACAAGAGTCTAGTAAACATCCCAGGTATGATAAAACTTGAAACATGAAATCATAAAATTATAATTTAATAAATAATCATAAAAAATAATATAATAAATTAATTCAATAATATAATCAAACAAAAAACACTGAAATGTGAAATATAGCGCCAAGTTCGCACATCGCTGAGCAAAGTCGCAGAATCGTTTTCAGTGTCTGATGAGGAATTTCCCCCACGAATCATTATCACTCAATTCTGCAAGTGGTTCTGATTTACTATCGCTGTTCTCTAGCCGGTCTAAAACCGCGTCTGACCTAAAGGGACGCTTTTTGGACGCCATGGACGTTTCTCAGTTTCCAGGCAGAAAGAACAGTAAAAATGCAGGCAGGGCGCCGGACAAAGCACTCGGGACAAAATGTATGTGAAATGGTTTGATACAGGAATGTTATACTATGTGATTTTAGTGGATTTAGTGAATGTCACTTTTTCACATTTTTAAATTTCCCGCCAGTTCCGTCCCCCGTATATCCCGACGTCGCAGGGAACGGAACCCAGAAGACAGATGCCGGCATCGGCCGGAGGACATTGCCGGGGACACTGCAGGGGGACATCGCGGGAGAGCAGGACAAGGTAAGTGAAGAAGAGATCCCGGAGCAACGCTGCAGTGTATTCCCGAGTGTAGTTCGGGGGGGGTTACCCTTGTGGTGCTGAAACTTTACCCCGAGCTACACTCGGGAATACCGCCAGGGGGGTTAAAGGCCCCTACAGGTCATCTGTTTAGCCTTAACCATGAATATTGGACCTAGAGTTATTGCTCTCACATTGGCTTGTGTGGTGATATGTATTATGTGTATCGCAATCAACGTTTTCATGCGTAGGCGCCCAACAACCGGTGGGCGTGCGTGCGTAGAAGTAGAGGGAGAACATTTTTTTATTTTTATTTTTTTTAAAGTGTTTGGGTGTACCTTTTAATATTTTACACTTTGGTTTTCACTAAAAACTTTATTTTTCATTACATAGGGGGCACAAAGTCCCCCATGTGAGGATTCTTTTTTGGTGACAGGTTCTCTTTAATGACATATCAGGGGTGTAAAGAACAAAAAACAGGAGCGCACCAACCTTGTGCATTACCTCAATAGGCAATGAATACATTTATTGTATTAATTACGCACAAGAGTAACAATATAAAAGGAATTTAAAAATGAACAGCGAAACGCTGGGTTAGGAGACACGTGCAAATCCCATCAGGAAGGGAGATAATCTCTTGGTTAAGCTGACGCGTTTCGAAGCGGGGTCCCTTCTTCCTGAGATGTGTGTCTATTGGTCTAAAAAAAAAAAAAAAAAAAAAAAAAAGATGTCGTCTCAGCTGCACTGCAATGAAGCTAATGGAGAGCAGATGGCATTCTATTAGCTTCTTCCTGGCCATACTGGCTAGGGAAAGGGACACCAGGACCTGGAAGAGACATTTTACACATCACTTCCAGGCAACTAGCAGGAAGGGGAGATCAGCAGATGGGCTCATCTCTTTCCCTGTACCCCATGGCACCCGCCATGCGGGTCCCGGGCCAGCCAATGGGTGCGCAGAGCACAGGAAACATGTGGTGGCACACTGGGGCTGGGGAGGAATGACACTGACGGAGGTTGTTGAAAGCGATCCACCGCCCAAATTCTTCAAGCTGATTTGTCAGATTTACACACACTTCAGCCACCAGGACTGCGTGTAAACCCCCCCCCCCCCCCCACCACATGCCAGCAGCCATAAATGCATGATAAAGACAAGATTCTACTACTATTCAGAAAACCGGACTCGGCAATACTCTACAGAAGTTCTGAAAGTGAAATTACAACATTTTACTAACAGCATTCTCAGAGAGTGCAAGAAAAAAAAAAAAAAAAAAAGATATATTTCCAACACACACACGGTTCACATATGTGCGGGTGGTGCCGCTGCAGATCTGCACGAAAATCCGTAATAAATAAAGAATTATTTATTTCAGGTACTTATATAGCGCTGTCAATGTACGTAGCACTTTATATATATATTGTACATTCACATCAGTCCCTAACCCTCAAGGGGCGTTCAATCTAAGGTCCCTAACCCTCAAGGGGTGTACAATCTAAGGTCCCTAACCCTCAAGGGGTGTACAATCTAAGGTCCCTAACCCTCAAGGGGTGTACAATCTAAGGTCCCTAACCCTCAAGGGGTGTACAATCTAAGGTCCCTAACCCTCAAGGGGTGTACAATCTAAGGTCCCTAACCCTCAAGGGGAGTACAATCTAAGGTCCCTAACCCTCAAGGGGTGTAACCC